GAGGTCCTCCCACACGGCCTCCTGAAGCAGAGTCCTCCTACACGCCAGCCACTCCTGAAGCAGAGGTCCTCCTACACCCAGCCCCTCCTGAAGCAGAAGTCCTCCTACACGCCAGCCGACTCCTGAAGCAGAAGTCCTCCTACACAGCCACTCTTGAAGCACAGGTCCTCCTACACGCCACGACTCCTGAAGCAGAAGTCCTCCCCGCCAGCCCTCCTGTGAGGTCCTCTACACGCCAGCCACTCCTGAAGCAGAGGTCTCTTACACGCCAGCCACTCTTGAAGCAGAGGTCCTCCTACAGGCCAGACCACTCTTGGAAGTCCTCCTACACGCCAGCCACTCTGAAGCAGAGGTCCTCCTACACGCCAGCCACTCAAAACAGGGTCTCCCTACACGCCAGCCACTCTTGAAGCAGAGGTCCTCCTACAGGCCAGACCACTCTTGAAGCAGAAGTCTCCTACACGCAGCCACTCAAGCAGAGGTCCTCCTACATGCCAGCCACTCCTGAAGCAGAGATCCTCCTACAAGCCAGCCTCCTGACAGCAGAGGTCCTCCTACAGGCCAGCCATCCTGAAGCAGAGTCCTCCACCACCAGCCGACTCCTGAAGCAGAGGTGCCACACGCCAGCCATGAAGCAGAGTTATCACGCCAGCCACTCTTAAAACAGGTCCTCCTACAAGCCAGGCATTCTGAAGCAGAGTCCTCCTACACCAGCCCTCTTGAAGCAGAGGTCCTCCTACAAGGAGACCCTCTTGAAGCAGAAGTCCTCTACCGCCAGCCGACTCCTGAAGGAAGTCCTCCTGCCAGCCACTCCTGAAGCAGAGGTCCTCCTACACGCCAGCCACTCTTGAAGCACAGGTCCTCCTACAAGCCAGGCATTCCTGAAGCAGAGGTCTCTTACACGCCAGCCACTCCTGAAGCTGAGGTCCTCCTACACGCCAGCCACTCTTGAAGCAGAGGTCCTCCTACAGGCCAGACCACTCTTGAAGCAGAAGTCCTCCTACACGCCAGCCACTCTTGAAGCAGAGGTCCTCCTACATGCCAGCCACTCCTGAAGCAGAGGTCCTCCTACACGCCAGCCACTCTTGAAGCACAGGTCCCCACAAGCCAGGCATTCCTGAAGCAGAGTTCCTCCCACACGCCAGCCACTCCTGAAGCAGAGAGGTCCTCCCACACGCCAGCCACTCTTGAAGCAGAGGTCTCCTACAGGCCAGACCACTCTGAAGCAGAAGTCCTCCTCACACGCCAGCCGACTCCTGAAGCAGAAGTCCCCCACACGCCAGCCCACTCCTGAAGCAGAGGTCCTCCTACACGCCAGCCACTCTGAAGCACAGGTCCTCCCAAGCCAGGCATTCCTGAAGCAGAGGTCCCACACGCCAGCCACTCCTGAAGCAGAGGTCCTCCCACACGCCAGCCACCTTGAAGCAGAGGTCCCCTACACGCCAGCCACCTTGAAGCAGAGGTCCTCCACATGCCAGCCACTCCTGAAGCAGAGATCCTCCCACAAGCCAGCCACTCCTGAAGCAGAGGTCCTCCCACACACCAGCCCACTCCTGAAGCAGAGGTCCTCCCCACACAGCCACTCCTGAAGCAGAGGTCCTCCCACAAGCCAGCCACCTGAAGCAGAGGTCCCTCCCACACGCCAGCCACTCCTGAAGCAGAGGTCCTCCTACATGCCAGCCACTCCTGAAGCAGAGGTCCTCCTACACGCCAGCCACTCCTGAAGCAGAGGTCCTCCTACACGCCAGCCACTCCAGCAGAGGTCCTCCTACATGCCAGCCACTCCTGAAGCAGAGGTCCTCCCACACAACCAGCCACTCCTGGAAGCAGAGGTCCTCCTACAAGCCAGCCCCTTCCTGAAGCAGAGGTCCTCCTACAAGCCAGCCACTCCTGAAGCAGAGGTCCTCCTACAAGCCAGCCATTCCTGAAGCAGAGGTCCTCCTACAAGCCAGCCACTCCTGAAGCAGAGGTCCTCCTACAAGCCAGCCACTCCTGAAGCAGAGGTCCTCCTACAAGCCAGCCATTCCTGAAGCAGAGGTCCTCCTACAAGCCAGCCATTCCTGAAGCAGAGGTCCTCCTACAAGCCAGCCACTCCTGAAGCAGAGGTCCTCCTATAAGCCAGCCACTCCTGAAGCAGAGGTCCTCCTATACGCCAGCCACCTATGTCCTTACGGCAGATGATGACGTCACACCAGGCACCGGAAGTGACGTAATGTTGGGAGTTGATTTTATTTTGATTATAGTTTAGAAAAAATGGTGATTTATGATTACGGTATTTGGTTGGTTGGTTGATCGGTAGGATGGTTGATTGGTTGATTAGTTGGTGGATTGGCTGGTTGGTTGGTTCAGTGGATGGTTGATTGGTTCGGTTGGTGGTTGGTTGATTGGTTGGGTGGTTGGTTGGGTGGTTGGTTGATTGGTTGGGTGGTTGGTTGATTGGTTGGTTGGTTCATTGTCTGATTGATTGATGACAGTATTAATTGATTGGTTGGTTGGTTGGTTGATTAATTTGTTGGTTGGTTGGTTGGCTGGTTGACCGCTTGGTTGGTTGGTTGGTTGATTGATTGAGTGGTCGATTGGCTGGTTGATTGATTGGGTGGCTGGTTGGTTGATTGATTGATTTATTGGTTAGGTGATTGATTGGGTGGCCGGTTGGTTGATTGATTGATTGGTTGGGTGGTTGGTTGATTGGTTGGCGTCTTGGTTAGTTGATTGATTGGTTGGATGTTGAATAATTATTGATCAATTGTTGATTTGGTTATTGAATGGCAGATCGAATAATTGACAGACGAATTGAAACATAAAATTGATTGGACACTTTTAAATTTTTTTAGGTTATATTTACCTTTCATCATATTTACACAGCTAATATAGTATATTTTTTCTTCTTATATTTTCGTGTTTATATTGCAAGTCTATTTTTTTGCAATGTTTTCAATAATTTCTACTTTAATGATTATAATTTTTGGTATTTTTTTTACACGTTAATTCCACTAAAACCCCAATTTTCTATTTTTCACCTTTTATCGTGTTTACATTTCACAAACTAATTAAAAAAAATCCTTCGTTCCCTTATGTAATGTTTTGGGATTTTGTTTCTTTATTTCTCCCAGAATTACCAAAGTTCATAGCTCCGTGTGTGTGTGTGTGTGTGTGTGTGTGTGTGTGTGTGTGTGTGTGTGTGTGTGTGTGTGTGTGTGTGTGTGTGTGTGTGTGTGTGTCATCCCCCACAGCCTTCAGCAGTATAATTCGGTGACCTAATTTTGTCTCAGGCTCGTAAATCTTCGACGCCTTGCTGTAATGCTTGTGATGTGTGTGTTAGTGTGTGTGTGTGTGTGTGTGTGTGTGTGTGTGTGTGTGTGTGTGTGTGTGTGTGTGTATCTTCTTGTCGGCCTCTGTGTAAATCTGTTTGTGTGTCTATCTGTCGGCCTTTCTTTCTGTCTGTTTGTCGGTCTTGCTGCTTGTCGGTCTTTCTGTCGGCTTCTGTGTCTGTCTGTCTGTCTGTCTGTTTGTCTGTGTATGTATGTCTGTTTGTGTGTCTGTCTGTCGGTCTTTCTCTAGGTCTCTGTGACTGCCTGCTTGTGTGTGTGTGTGTGTGTGTGTGTGTGTGTGTGTGTGTGTGTGTGTGTGTGAGTGTGAGTGTGTGTGTGTGTGTGTGTGTGTGTGTGTCCCTTTACTTTCTCACCAACACGATAAGTCTTTGTTAACTTCACCATCCACAGTTGAAAGTTTGATTGCCTTATAAACCGTTCAGGAGAGAGAGAGAGAGAGAGAGAGAGAGAGAGAGAGAATAGGAAAAAACAATCTTCTTGAATATCTTTTAATTTTTTGTTATTCACTTTTTTTCCCGTCCGTGCGTGCGTCAGTCCGTCTCAAACTACCAAAAGTGTTTCTAGGCGTCCGTCCGGGAGATGTAAACACGATAATTTGAACAAATATCGAGGGATTTTTAACCAAACTTAGCGTGTGAGGACATACAGGTGTGACAACAAGACCTCAGGTGACTTCTGTAATGATTAGGTTGATAATTTACAAGTCACGCTCCACGGATTCTGTATTGTGGTGTAGCGAAGTTTTGGTTAATCTCTAGTTCAGGGGTTCATGGATCAATGGTGTTTTCGTGAAGCTTCATTAGGGGTTCATTAGATACATTTCGAGGAGCTAAAGGTATATTGATTGTATACAAAATATGTTTTATTAGTTTTTTGATGACATACATAATTTATCAAAGAGGAAAAAAACTACAAAATGACTGAGCCACTTTTGAGAGGGGGCACGTGACGTCACACTGAGACCAATGGGACACACTGACTTTAAAAAAAAAAGGTTAAGTCCTTCTGCTGCATACGGAGGAACCAGTGAGGCACGAACCATCGACCCATTAAGTGAGAGATGGACGCGTTACCACTGAGCCAAGGAGAGGGGGGGGGGGGGTGAGGGGAGGAGGGAGAGGTGAAGGAAATTGATATGTTAATTACGTGTGAGGACGGAGGATACGTCGTAGTGTGACGTCATTGAAAGGAATGGGTGAGAGGTGAGGGGAGTTTTGTGTGTGGGGAAGGGGAGAGGGGAAATGTGTGTTGGGGAGGGAGGAAATGGGAGAGAGAAAATGTGTGTGGGTGAGAGGGGAGAGTGAAGGTGAGAGGGGATTTTTAAATGTTGATTATACGTAATGCAGTGACGTCACATGACCCCCAGCTGTAGGTGAGGTGGAATCAAGGTCACCAGGGGGTGGGGCTGATGAGAGAGGAAAGAAGTGAGGGAGAAAGGAGAGAGGGTGGGAGAGAGGAACAGTGTAGGAGAGGGAGGAACAGTGAGAGAAGAGGGAACAGTAAGGTAGAGGGAGGGACAGTGAGGGAAAGAGAGGGACAGTGTGGGAGAGGGAGGAACAGTGAGGGAGAGAGAGGAGTATTATGGGTGAGGGAGAATGGTAATTGCCACATATAAGATTGATAGCGTCTTACATCAAGGTGATAGATAGGTAAGGCTCTTGTCAGGGTGGGGTGGGAAGCTTGTGTTCGTCCGTGGTGGTGTTAGTTCCGTCCGTGGTAGTGTTAGTTCCGTCCGTGGTAGTGTTAGTTCCGTCTGTGGTAGTGTTAGTTCCGTCTGTGGTAGTGTTAGTTCCGTCCGTGGTAGTGTTAGCTCCGTCTGTGGTAGTGTTAGTTCCGTCCGTGGTAGTGTTATTTCCGTCTGTGGTAGTGTTAGCTCCGTCCGTGGTAGTGTTAGCTCCATCTGTGGTAGTGTTAGCTCTCGTCTGTGGTAGTGTTAGCTCCGTCTGTGTGGTGGTGTAGCTCCGTCTGTGGTAGTGTTAATCCGTCTGTGGTAGTGTTAGCTCCGTCTGTGGTAGTGTTAGCTCCGTCTGTGGTAGTGTTAGCTCCGTCTGGCAGTAGTGTAAGCTCCGTCTGGTGAAAATTATTGGATTTCCATCATGGTAGTGTTAATCCGTTTGTGGTAGTGTTAGCTCTCCGTCTGTGGTAGTGTAGCTCAAATCTGTGGTAGTGTTAGTTCTAAATCTGTGGTAGTGTAGCTCCGTCTGTAGTGATGTTAGTTTCCGTCTGTGGTGATAGTGTTGGACTTCGTCTGTGGTAGTGTTGGTTCCGTCTGTGGTAGTGTAAAAGCTCAAATCCGTGAGTAGTGTTGAAAAGCTCCTGCATCTGTGAGTAGTCATTAGCTCCGTCTGTTAGTAGTCATTAGTTCCGTCTTATTGGTGATGTTAGCTCCGTCTGTGGTAATGTAAGCTCCGTCTCTGTGGTAGATGTTAGGCTCCGTCTCTGTGGTAGTGTTAGCTCCAGATACTTGTGGTAGTGTTAGTTCCGTCTGTAGTGATGTTAGCTCCGTCTGTGGTAGTGTTAGTTCCGTCTGTGGTAGTGTAAGCTCCGTTTGTGGTAGTGTTAGTTCCATTTGTGGTAGTGTTAGCTCAAATGCTGTGGTAGTGTTAGTTCCGTCTGTGGTAGTGTAAGCCTCCGTCCGTGGTAGTGTTAGTTCCGTCTGTGGTAGTGTTAGTTCTAAAGTCTGTGGTAGTGTAGCTCAAATCCAAGTAGTAGTGTTAGTTCCATCTGTGGTGGTGTTAGTTCCGTCTGTGTGGTGTTAGCTCCGTCCGTGGTAGTGTTAGCTCCGTTTGTGGTAGTGTTAGCTCCGTCTGTGGTAGTGTTAGTTCCGTCTGTGGTAGTGTTAGCTCCGTTTGTGGTAGTGTAAGCTCCGTCTGTGGTGGTGTTAGTTCCGTGTGTGGTACTGTAAGCTCCGTCTATGGTAGTGTTAGTTCCGTCTGTGGTAGTGTAAGCTCCGTCTGTGGTAGTGTAAGCTCCGTCCGTGGTAGTGTTAGCTCCGTCCGTGGTAGTGTTAGCTCCGTCTGTGGTAGTGTTAGCTTCGTCCGTGGCAGTTTTAGGAGTTATTTTGTTGTTGTTACCAAGACAATAATTCTCGATAATACTTTTAACATATGACAGAAAAATTCACACGAATATAAGTATATAAAAAAATATATAAGCAAGTGTCATGGCTCCAGGGAAAGTAATTTTGTTTGTAAAGTTAATTGTTATTGTGGAAATATTTATAAATAATAAAACTTTGATACTCTGTAGTGAATATT